GAGAAATTCTGTCTTGCTCACTCATGGGAGTTGAAGGGTTAAAGAACTTACTTTAAATTTCATTTCCTTACCAATCTTAACATGATTTCCTCCTTTTCTAACATCTGACATCCAACCTAAAGAAAGTAAACAAAACATAACATTCACCTATGACTAAATCTCTCCTAATAAGCAAGACATTTCATAAAAATTAACCCTCTGTAATCAATTTCCACAATACCACCACTCTCAAAGATCCTTCAAGATTCTGAAAGATCGCATGAGGACCTTCAAGGATCCTATCAAGGATCTTGGCAAATATCTTTATGAAATATCTTACAGGATCTTCAAAATTCTTGCTTCAAGAATTCTTCAAAGATTTTTTAACATGTGGAGGGAGGTGCACCACATGTTTAAGTTTGCGGTTTGTATGTTTCTCTGTTGATCTGCTGTTCTTCAATACCTTGATCAATGTCATGGCCTCCCTCTACTGAAAAGGTACCAGTTTTCCTGTTGAACAACAACAGCAAAAGAAATTGGCATAAGTTTCAAATTTATCTTACACTTAAAACACCTTTTTTTTTTGGGGGGGGGGGGGGGGGGGGGATTGGAGGCTAAAATCTCAATACAAGTTCTTATTTTTAGAAGGTAGAGTTTGTTCAAATTTGATACAGTACATTGCATGTGATACAAAAAGGTAACAAAAACTTGGCAGAACACCAGTAGCATTACAAAACTGAACTGTCAATACATCCATAGCTGTGCAGCATATGTGTACAAGTAAGTCATGTAAAACATGGCACTATGAGGCTGCCATACAGTGTAGAATCACACCCACACCTGACAAATTTCTTACACAAAAATTAAGAACATGATGAAAAACCTAGGTAGCCTAGTTTTACAGTAAAACGGTAAACACCATTTATATATTAAGAAACAAAGTCTAACTTGAAAAAACCTAGATTCTGATCTACCAGTTTTTACTGTAGTTATATTTCCAATAATATTATATTGTGACCAGTGCCAGAGTTGGCCTAGCTGTACCTAGACCTCTGAATGACAATGACATTACCTTCTCTTGATTTGGAGCCACACTGGTGAAACATAAGTAAATTTTGGGCTAAATATTTTTGCTACATCATAACCATGAGAGTTCCACTGAAAAAAGGAAAATGAGATAAAATTTGGTCACAAAAAAAAAGGAAGACATTCATGTTAGTGAAAAAATTTAATTTTTGCAAAAACAATCATGCAATTGGTAAAAGTTTAAGGGCCTGGGATAGGTGGGTATGGTCTCTGGTGTGAGGTCTACGCAATTAATGGTAGCCCTGAACTGGACTGATCTGTCAAATCAGTGAAAATTTTTAGACATTTACTAGTTAGCTTTCCCTTCATGTAATAAGCTTTAGGAGTTCAAAAAGAGAGCTGTGAAAAAGAAGTGCAATTGACACAGGGTGCATTTTATATATAAAAAGTTCCAGAGCTTTAGAACTCCTTACTGTGGCTGAACTACATTTATTAGCTCAGTTGAAAAACCAAAATATCTTGTTATACCCCCAACTGATGCAGCACCGCAGTCTCTTTAGAAACTTTCCCTCCTTTATACCTTTATCTTTTCAACAACTTTGCCACTTTGCATGAGATATCATTGGGAAAGCACAAAATCCAATCAAAACTTCAAGAGCCATGAAACAAACTTTCAACTTTCAACATTATGGCATTCAGAAAATTTGAATCACTTCTATAAGAGGCAGAATTGACAACTTATACCAAGTTTGATGGGACATAAAAACTGTAGATAAAACAGTATCCTAGCTGTAAAGAACGCTTTCATGATATAAGTTGTTGATAATTATCGATGTTTCCACTTACTGGTGCAACATATACCAGGACATCTCCATTAAAGTTTACTTCTGATACATTTTTATAATATGAGCTGTGGAACTTGATGATATCTCTTGTTCTTGGATTTTCCACAACTAAGCCTCGTGCTGTGACATTTGAATCAGGACGTCCCTGATAAACAAATATCAAATGAAACAAAGATTAATATACAAAAAATAATGTAATATATTTATGGCTTACCCTTTCACTCTCAAAATCTCATTGGTAAAATCTCTTTACTATCTGCTGTACAATTTTTATAATCACATTAGTTCAGAGAATTTGGTATTGGATCAACCAAAAATCTTCTTGTGGATATTATTCTTTATTCTTTATTATCATCATCTGACTGCTTGATATTGTATTCATTTGATAATTATAAGGAGAGATTCTGTCTTGGTCACCTTTTTTCTCTTCTTTTCTTTCTCTCTTTTTTTTTTTCACTTACAAGCACCATATATAAATCTTTTTGAATACATGCCCGATTGGTATCAAATACATGCCTGATTGGTATCAAATACATGCCCGATTGGTATCAAATACATGCCCGATTGGTATCAAATACATGCCCGATTGGTATCAAATACATGCCTGATTGGTATCAAAAAAAATTAACAAAAAAACAAAGAGGGCAAGAGAGAAAAGAATTGTTTTGTCAGGGCAAGTCATAAGCTCTAACAAAGGGCTAATGCTTAAAAACATCAACCTTGAATCACTCTGTGCCAACCAATTTTTATTAGCAACTTGTGATTATTTAAACCCCCACCAATTATTACAGCACTACAGTTTCTTAAGAATTAGTAATACCTCCTTCATGCCTAATTGAGGGATTCTAATAAGTACTTTCTTTTAACAAGCTGTGACTTTACATTTTAAGTTTTCATCACCTCACAATGATCTTTACTTTGCCTGCAGATTGACTCGCCAGGATATATTAAATAAAGTCTGGTATACTGCCCCCTGCTGTGTACAATACCTCTTGACAGTATCAATACATCATCCTTCCAACAGGTGATGATGGTCATGGATATGAATCCTAATTCTCTTAACTCTTATTCCCATGAGTGATCAAGACAGAATTTCTCCTTGCAATATCAACACAATATCAAGCGGACAAGTGATGAGAATAAAGAAAAATATTAATTAGGGGATTATAAGTTGATCCAATACCAAATTCTCCAAATTAACTTCACAAGAACTATATGGCAGGCAGTAAGGAGAATTACTAATGACATCTTGGGAATTAAAGGGTTAAACTCCTATGAGTGGCCATGATAGAATTTCTCTTCCCAATATCAAGAAAATATCAAGCAGTCATGTGATAAGGACAAACAAGAATACCAGTTAGGAGATTATAACATGCAGTTGATCCAATGCCAAATTCTCGAAACTCACATCATCAGAATTGTATAGTAGTAAGTAAGGAGAGTTACCATATAAGATCTTAGGAGTGAAAAGGTTGACAAGGAAAAGTATGGCAGCTAATAGGAAAAATTCAGATCAGACATTGTGAAGTGAAGAGTGCACTTTTTATTTTAAATTGAAGTAAGACTCAGTAAGGGAATTTACTGATCTGGCTTTTTATTTTGTGTTAAAGCAGAATTTGAACTGGCTGGTTCTCAGAGAGTAATTACAGATCTTGAATAATAAATTTCAACGTTTTTATTTAAAAACATGCTGCAGCTGTTATGTGAAACTTTAACAGTTTTCGTTTCACTTACTTTGCATTAATTAACACTTGATTTAGTTTGGTTTGAGTATCACCACACTAATACCAGTAACTTCAATTTTATTTCACCAAATAAAATTTAAAGATAACAAAATAAATAAGAAAAATCAGGGTGAATCTTTCAGAATTCACTCTTACGTCCCTTATTAAGATGGGCCGATTCCATATTCAGCCAGATCAAGAACAAAATTTAAATAATAAATAAAACATTAACACTAAAGTTAGCCCCTAATGCATACACAAAATGTTTTAAGATTATCAGTCTGCAACTCATTCAGGGCACGCAAAATTGTTCACGACAGAAATACCTCTCTGATTCGAATATCCATGTTGTTTTATCAAGTCCATTTCGATTCTAGAAGAAGAGATCGCCCATGGATCTATTTCATTTAGTGTAGCTTCACTTAAACAATAACAAAACTTCACTTACCGCTCGGCTAGGCTCGGAGCCTTTCTTATTTTTCTTGTCTTTCTTCGAGAGTGTTCCGGCCACGTGCGATACATTTGTTATCCAACAACCAGTTACCACACAAAGAATAATCCCGAATAATACCCTATGCATTTTCACCGTGAGATTAATTTAAAACGATAACAGTCCGTTACCTGATAGCAGATGGAGACAGTTGCATTATTGAAGGTTGTTTGGGTTCCCAGTGGACGTATTTCATTCATTGTTAAGTAAATGGAGTGATAATTTGCATCGGCAGTTACCGCTGAACAAAGTAAATACATATTAGAAATAAAATCTTACTTACCCTGGGAGGGTCAGGTAGACTTATCAGTTACACAACTTCTGTTTGTTCAGTCTGCTTTTTAAAAAATATAATAATTGTTATTATTCAATATATTAATAAATACGAATTCTAAAGATAATAGCTTTCTATTAAAAAGCAGATTTTTTTCCTTTTTCAGGGATCGTTTATTATTTATCGCGCGGACAGGGGGAGGGGGCTGGAAGATTTTGGTTGAGTCAAGTAGTTTACCTGATTCCGTAAAGGCTCTGAGACATTTCTATGATTCCCCCTACATTGGCAGTTAACTGACAGTCAAGTTTCTGTAATAGTTCCCCGTTAATCTTTTTGGGTGATACCAAATGATACCCCCCCCCCCCCCCCCCGCTAAAATCCTCTCCCCACCTGACGATGAATATTTACTGGTGAATACCGCGGGCCGCCATTTTTTTAAAAACCTGGGAGCGAGTTTAATGACGTCATATTAACCTCTTTTGTGCGGCAAATTAAGGCGCTATGTTGTTAAACGTTCGACGCTATTTTTGGTTGTGTCCTCGTGTACCGGTACACAAAGGAACCAAACATTAACGAACTGCGTCACAACTCCATGTATGGATATGGAAACAATAGGTATTCCCCCGTGTACCGGTACACCAGGACAGCCCCCTATTTTTTCCCTACTGTAAAATTCGAATTCTCGTACCTTTTCTAAAATGCCCTCGGCGTGTATTGCAACTGGTTGCACCAACATTAGTACGTCGAGAAGAAAACGGTGGGTTTCCTTTTACAGATTACCCCTCGAAGACAAAGAGCTTTTGCAAAAATGGTTGGTGAACTTGAGGAGGACAAGGCTTCCTTTACGTTTGGACAGAAGCTACGTTTGCTCGGATCATTTCGAACCTGAGTGCTTTGGTAGGGACATAAAGGTATGCAGAATTGAGTTCGTTTACCTTGTTCCATGGGCTGTTCTTTCCAAGTCGGATCGTTCCGCTTTACAGTCAGTTCGTTTCACTCACTGTAATTATAGACAATTTAACATAATACAGTACAATTCAAAGAGAGTTTTAATTAAATGCTGCCGAAGTTTTTAGGTTAGTGAATAGTCTTAGGGAAGGTGATTAAATTAGTTTGTTCACATATCTGTAAAATTCTGTCAAACCACACTGTTGACCTCACAGTGTGACATAGCGGCTTTGTAATGCTATACAGTTGCGCCTTAGAGTAATACAGCTTCCCAGTATGTGCAGGTTGACTGATTTTGTAATTATTTTGTATTCAGTTTGCTAGTTGACCTAAGTATATCATGAAACTGCTAGATATGAACCATGTTTTGAAAGATTTGGTTAAGCAAACTGGTCCAGATGGGTGTGACTTTGTTATATTTGATGGAGGTGAGCTAGTCTGAGGTGACCTTGCAATGGACAGAAACCTTCACATGTCTAATGGCAACTTCTTTAAAAGTGGTTATTGATTGTGACTACATATTTTACATGCAACTCTCCAATGAATAGGTTGCAAGTTACTGGATCCTTGTGTTTGTGCAAAGGTGTCTGGGATCTCCAGAATTAAGATTAGGAAAGGAGCAGAACATGTTTAAAAACAGAGAAAAAAAAAAAAATATATATATATATAGGAAGTCTGCAAGTCGATTTTTGCGTGGAACAGTGCTCAATACGTTGAAGCAGAGCAGAATAAATATTATGAGAGGGAAAAAGGGACGCAACTACATTTCCCATATATATATATATAATTATACAAGCAAACCCACGCAGAATAGATTGAATTCTAAATTTATTGCCTGCATGTATATATAAATCTTCAAGCTCCATCAAGACTCTTGCTTAACAACTTGTGAGCTATGATCCCCAAGTACATGTAATTTTTGCATATTTCTTATTGCCCCTCAGTGGCTTTCATATGTAATTTTCCTCCCATCTACAACACTTAATTCAAGGTAGCATTTATTTGAGGGTGGTATTTATCTAATAGTTAAAAATAGAGCTTTTAAGTGCAGCTGCTAGACTGATTTTCTTATAACAGCTTGCGTAGGCATGAAGCCTTTGACAGACAAGCCATCTTCTGACTTTTTTTGTTGTTATTGTTGTTTTTCGCTCCACAGGCAGAGCTAATGGATCAAAGGCCAAAACCACCACTGTTAGAAGGATCAGTTCCCACATTATTCAGTCATAATAATTTTAGGTCCAAGGTCAAGAAAAGAGTTGTTAGTGAAGAGCGAAAAAAGAGAAAGGAAAAAGATGAGGTAACGAGTCCTGTTTTGTTATTCCTAGTTTTTTTCCTAGAAAAATTTTCTCTTCAACCCTTTACTGTACACTTCCCTTAGTACAGACATGGAGAATTAGCTTCTTCCATTGACAATTGTTTCCTTTCTTCTCATGATCTTAGTTCAGCGATGTTACTTAACCCTTTAACTCCCTGAAGTGATTAACATCTCACTTCTCCCCACAATATCCATACATTATCAAGCAAACAGGTAATGAGAAAACTCAAACATATCAAGTAGAATTTGTTGTCTTGATTTAACACCAAATTCTTGTTACTAATTTAAAAGGAAATATTTTGTAGCGGCGGAGGAGAATTGACTATCAGATCTTGGGAGTTGAAGGGTTAAAAAGGAATTAGTTGTTTGTCTTTCTTACAAGTACTGTAGGGTTGAAAAGGCTAAAGGTTTTAGCTATCATTTTTTTTATTGATTATAACCTTGAATTTGACTTAAAGATGAACTGCCATACATCATGGGACATACAACAAAGCAATAACAACAATGATGTTACCAATAATGATTGTAAACACCATTGTTATTATTATTATATTGGTATAATTAACAATTACTCTTCAAAGTGGAGTTAAATATTCACCACTTTCACCAACATTGACAGAGGTAACTAATTATTTTAGTATATTCCAACCAGATACCAGATTCCAGGTACCAGTATTTCTTTCAATGCACCGAAAAATGATCTGAAATTAAACTCTTGACATATGATTTTGTCTTATCGGCTACCGAAGGTGAATAATACTTGCTATTCACTTCCAAACTAGCCAATCAGCATGATCCAAAAGCTCTAGTAACTTGTGTGTTATACTCTAATATTATTATTATAAATATTATTACTAGTATCATTTTTATCATTATTATTATTATGATTATTATTACCATTATATATCAGCTAAATGATCATTTGAAAAAGGAAATGTTTATAACATACTTGTAATTAATGTCAAACTTAGCATCAGGAATTTGTACAATTTTTATGTTTGTATTCCTGTCAAACGTAATTGCTCAAACCAAATAATTGATAGAAATCAATAGGTGTTTCTAAGATAGTTGTTAATAGATTGATACCAGTAATTGATGACAAACTGAAGAAGAACATTTGTGTGACTTCACTCACTCGCTCGTTCACTTGTTCAATCGTTCTTTTTTCTTTTCTATAGATTTTGAAAGAATTACTTGGACCACATTTTTACATGAAGCCATCAGCACCACTGAACACACAAGTTGTGAAGCGCGAATCCCCGATGGAGTTTGAAAATATAGACGGTGAATTTAGCATTCAGTCTCTTCTGCCTGAGTTTGCTCGAGCTTACAACAACGATACTTGCACTGATAACGATCAAACTCGAACAATTTGCGAGAATGACGTAGGTATTAGCCACAAGCAGATCGGAACTGACACCGAGAGCGACTTAAGCACCGTTAATGAGCAAGCCCGAACAGAAACCGAGAATGACGTTTGTACCAGCCACCAAAAACATCCAACAGGTACCCAAGATGTGTTCGCATTACCCAGTATTTGCAACGGACAAGAACCCAACGGTACCATGATCACTTATAACGTGAACACAACCCAGGGGCAAACGGAAAAGTGGGTGATTGTTCTGATCAAGTGTAAAGAAGGGACACGTGTGAACATGAACTTTGGACACAACATTAATCGGCAAAACAAACCTAGCACTTCAGAAACATCGTGCCAAACTGAAGAAGAGCTTGCAGGGGAAATAAAACCCTCTATGGTATCTGTCGAGACGCAATGGGACAGGGATGATTTTCTTCCAAATCTTGAGCTCGTTCAACGTGACCACACCTACAGTAACACCAAGAGAGTCTCAAAGAAGAAACTTTCTTGAAGAATTTTCCTTCTTATTGCTTTGCCTCCCTGCAGGGGTTTGAATAACTATTACCATGAGTGGCTGCCCATGGTGGCTGTACCCGAAAAAGAGGCTGTAAGGGGGGAACCCAAACACTCGAGCCTACTAGGAGGCCAAACAGACGGTAGTAAGAGTTCTTATGGGCATCGTCAGTAACCTCTGCTCTGTAAAGTATCTGTGCTCTCTGATGCTAAGACGACGACGATCGACAGAAAGACCCTGGTTCGACTTGTAGGATTACGAGCAGCCCTCCTTTTCGGAGAAGTCCGTCGGAAGAGTCCAAGAAACTCACTTGAAAAAAAAAATAATAACGAAAGATATTTCAGCTCGCCGCGCGGAATTCACGGAGCGAGGTGTACGTAAGGACCCCACTTTCCGTGCGCTCACTCCCAGAGTTCTGCGCGGCTCGCTAACATCCATCTTTTTTTTGTTTTGTTTGTTATTTTTATTTCCACACGGGCGCCGAAAAAATAGGGACTGTTTGCAGTCTTGGCATTTTATGTAATTGAAATTTTATGAAATGGATGAAAAACTATGATCAATAATCAAGGCTGATTTCTACTGATCTGTCTTTAAATTTTTGAGCATCCGGCTGTGAGGCTTGCAGCATTGGACATTTTCCCTTTGCTGAAGTCATATTTGTTGAGTTACAAGGTTGAAAGTCTTACCCAAAAGACAATTGTAATAAAAGTTTTGAAACAAAGTTGTTGACATCAAGGGTATTTTATCAGGGAAATGAAGATATAAACATAACCGAAACGAAGAGAAGAAAAAGAGCGACCATAATACTTTTCCTGTAGTTGTTTCAGTTTCTACTATTACAAAGGCCGTTTGGCGGTTGGTTAGCTTGCAAGCAGGCCCTCATTGTCATCAGTGCGACCGCAGACCTATCACTGGCTCGCTTTGCTTAAGGCCTCAAACCTTCTTAGAGGGCGTTGATACACTCGTGCCGCGAATGGAAATCATCCCGAGGAACTACCTGTAAAGGTGAACGAATGAAAAGCCTTCTATGGTCTACGAACGCACGCATGCCGAGCGCAAGTCAGCCCCCAGCATTCTGTCAGATATGCAGATTTCCCTGACACTCCGAAAGAGGCAAGGCACTGTGAGGATAGTGACTTGTGGCGATCTGGCCAGACCTCGAACCTAGTGCTTTCGATCCGGACTCCTGGCGCGGAAAATTTTGCCGACTTCATAACGCACCAGAAGCGCTCAGATAGTGCTCGTGCCAGTCCTATTCCGCTTAACACTTTGCTCGAAGAGCTAACCGTTAAGTCACCGTGAACCTCGCATTGTAAGACGCCTTACTTGACACCGTGAAATAATATGACAAGGAGATTCTAAAGACTGAAAGTTTTTTATTTTTCTTACAACAAAGCCTCAGTAAAATACTGCCATTAAAAGATCATACAAATTGAAAACGTTTAATTACCAAAAATATTTACTTAATTTAATAAAATAAGTATAATTTTAATAGCAGTTCTCTTCTTGAATAAATCATTTTAACCTTTTTTCTTTAGCAATCAAATATTCTTACATCATATGCACTGTGACGAAGCACTCCTTTTCTTGTAAAATATAAACTTACTTGTCAACAAACGACTATACATATCTCGCCCATTCGCTAATGATAAGGCTCGTTTTCCGTGGGAAAGATGCAGCAATTTATACGACGTACCACACTTGTAATTAATATTGAGTATCTTATATCTCTGGACCAATGTCAGTATCACAGCAACTGCGCACTCACCCCTCCCCTAACCCAACATTAACCCTAACTTGTTATCAGTTGACTGTTGTTGGGGTAAGGGAGGGGTAGGTGCGCAGTTACTCGGAGACTTACATGGATCCATAATTCTAATCTACGACTACAACGTTTCTAAAACACCAGGTACTTAAATTTTTCTCTCCTTAGTGAAGTGGCTTCAAGTGTTAAATAATTCAGATCATAATCAATACACTAATTTTTATTTCTATAATATACTTTGTATTTCTTTTTTTAATTTTGTATTTTGTTTTGTTTGTTTTTTGTTTGTTTTTTTTTGTTTGCTTGTTTTTTTTTACTTATCAAATAACCAATCACAATTTCTTCTAAATATTAATATTGTAACTCAGTGGAACAAACCTCCATGCATTTCTCACTCATGCTGAGCTCTACGAAAATTAAATATTCTTATGTATAACAGCTATCCAATAGCATCTAAATAATTTTGCGTACTTTTACTAAAAACAGTGTCCCATTAATTCTCTTCTTCCTCTTGGTCTATCACAAAGTTTACTATTTCGCTCCCTTTTTTCTGACTGGACGCTTTGAACTGATTATAATGTTCTCTGATCGGTATCATTACAATGTTGATGTTCTTCGCTCGAAAATAAGCGGAAAACCTACTATTTTAACCACAACCTTGGGCAAAACTCCTGATAAAATAACCGTTAAATTGCCTGTCCGGAGCGAGCTGTGTTTCTAAGAGGGGCTCAAACGGCAAAACCACAAGACAAGCAAATCATCGATTTCAACTTGCACATAACTAGATCACTGAAAGTTGTTTCTGCAGATATTGTTGTTCCATTCGTTTTTCATCTGCAAACTTAATTTACTCAGTTTTTTCTTTCGCTGTTTTCTGGCTATATTTAAATACTACACTGCTTTTCTAAAACACGAAGAATCCCAGTAATAATTAGTTACTTCTACAACAGTGCTCGTCAAGTATGACACTGTGAAGCCAATATGAATAATACTGAATCTGTTTCCCTTCAGAAAACTACTATCGATTCCCGCCGCTAACCCACTAGAAGTTCCAACCATTTTTTTTTTCTCTTTTTTTTTTAACATTTGTAAGATGTTATTTTGGAACTATGTTCATTTTAAAACTCTTCTCAACTCACCAAATTTCGTAATGTAACGCCGTTTGTACTTCACCCTGCGAACACATCGAAAAAGTGTAAAAGGGCTCTATTGATCCGTGCGCCTTAGTTCCATTTCTCGTTCCCCCAAATATTGGGGAGCATTAAGTATGCATACCTAAATAAATCTTATGAACCCTTAATTCTTGTGTAAAATAGTAAAAAAACTATCAGTGTTTTTAACGAATTCCACAAAAAATCTTTGTCTTCTATCTACATTATACTAATTTCATCTTGTTAAATAGACTGATGTTGGTTTATCTAATTTTAACACTTCATATACTTCCAAAGAAATTTCAACAAATAGTTTGGCTTTTTCATCCTTGTGATAAATAAGTATATCCACTATGTTCAAGCAAAGGAAAAATAAATCTCTTTACGAATAACGATATTTGAATATGATTTTCATTTCACTAAATATTTAACGTAAATACTGTTCGCAATTAAATTATCAGCAATTGATTAGAAATTCAGTCGAGCGCAAACTAAGTACAACAAAACGTGCAATAGAGAGGCTAGAACTTTCCTATTTACAAACCTCGCTAGAATTATTCCTGGTCAATTTGTCTAAATAAGCGTAATGGTGAACAAATCAATTTTCATTTTTGAGCATATTAGATAATGCAACAAAACATTTCTTATTTACAATCGTACTTACTTCGCAACCTTCGTAAAAGGTTATTCAAATTGCAAAAGAACTCGTTTCAATAGGCGTCGTCCATTCGAAGGAGAAGGTGCTAGCTATTTCAATCGACAATTCATTTGGCTTTGTTTAAAACCAAACTTATTTTCCCTTATTCATTAAGTATCGTCTAAGTACGTTTAAGCCTCTCGGTAAGTGGAAAGACGCAAAACAACAAAACAAGCGAGCGTGCCTCGATCGGCAAATGAAAATGAAGCCGTTTCTCTAACTAGCGCACACGCCGGTCATTACGCACTTGCTCCCCTGCTCGCTCTTTCTGGCGTTCCATTGTTTAAGATCCTGGAATACGTTAGTATCAAGAGGGCTCACAATAATCTGTGGTTCACAAGCACACGATTTTATGACAAAGAAATCAGGACCGACAGGAAAGAGGAATGATAAGTGAAAAAAAAAGGGGGGGAAATAAACCATTCTCATCCTGTTTATCAAAAAGCGTCATTTCATGTTGTTCAGTTGGTTTGCCATGAGAGGCAACAAAATTTACCAAAACGCTTTCGCTCGTTAGCCTCCGCGTTCAGTCCTTTTTTTCGTTTAAGTGGACTTACTTTACTCTTTAGCTTCACAACTCGAGCTAAATGTAATAACTAAATTGCTACCTCAGCTACCTCATTACCAAACACCGTACCATGATAATTCTACGAACCACTCATCCCAAACATGGGTGCAAAATAAAGAAAATTTCCTTTACTAAGACTACATTTTCCCTAAAAATCTGCTTCGTCTTCGCAACGCCGCTTCACTTCAGTGGGGTATAGTTAAGTAAGGCAGCCAATTTCAGACTGTAGAGCTAGTTAACTGATTCTACTGTAGAAGATGACTTAACGGCGCGTGATGCATTTCCTAACTCGTCTTACCGCATACCCATCCCACCTGACATAAAGGTCATTGTATCTCCTTGACTGCTCGTTGTCAACGTCGACTGCGCATGACTGCTACTGGGTACCGTAGTGACCGCTGGTGGCCAGGGTTCTGCGGTTGGCCTCAACCCAGAAGACATAGGGGCCTGCGTCGAATCTGAATACTGTACATGCTCAGCTGGCGACTGCCAAGAGCGTTGGAACCCCCCCATATGTTGCGGGGACGACCAGTAATCAGTGGTTGGTGAGCGCACGCCACTGCCCGTGGGAGATGAGTAGCGCCGCTGACCTCTCATTGCATAACCTTGGGGCTTTGGTGACCACGCCTCAAAAGACGAAGATGGGGCTCTGGAAATAAATACGGTACCATTAACCATGGTGAAAAATAAGTTACATACTCTCAGTATGAGTTACTTCTACTAGTAAAAACAGAAGCTTGTGGAATCGAGCCTTTAAGGTACTAATTACGTTATCTATCTGGTCTTAACCTTCGGCTCAGATTTTAGATCGAAGTGTACCTACCCATAATTCTGTTGCATTCCACGTGTCTCATCCAATGCTCTATCGGGTAGTCCCGTGGGTCGAGGGCCTTGTCTTCGGCCACCCACTCCTCCCATACCAAACGCTGTCCTACCGTCTATCTGAGCTTCGACTGGAACTTCTTCTGACGAAGAGGAACCAGAGCGTACAGAGGACAAACTGCCAGCAGAGGATAGCCTACCGGGGGACTGGTTTGAGCCATATTGGAATGTGTCCCAAGTTTGACCTTGATTTGGAACGCGGGACTTCCACTCCTCAGCCGACATCTGACGGCCGTATCGACCATAATTACCCTGGACAGTTTTAAGATGTCATGAATTAACTGTTTTGTTACCAATGAAAACATTCAATGATTAAAACTGTCTGTCTGATTATTTGTTGGGTTATTATTTTTGGAAGGAATTAGTATTTTTGTATTTGCGTCTTTGTTTGTTGATAAAAGTGCTAATATTCTGTTAAGGTTGAGAAACTTATTCATCATTGAGATGGTCGCTTAGTCATCAACTCCGTTTGTTTAAAGAGGGCATGTTTCTGAAGAAACTGTCATGCTACGTCATATCGCGCAGAAGTGTGTACACATCCGGGATATTTACGGGTGCAAGGGCACTAAGTGGGGGAGGAGAGGGGAGTACTGCAAGATCATTTGGTTGGTCAATTGATAGTGCACAGTGCATAGTGGCCACCGTTGAGTGTTTCTACAGCTGACGTTTCGATGTTTAACCCTTTGTCAAAACTTAACATGTCTCTTTGTTTGTTTGTTTGTTTTTATGTTGTAATTTAGTCTTCTAACGTTTTCATCTCTAACCTGCTGGAACTGCCACGGTTTTCCGGATCCATCGCTATGCTTTCCTACTAAAGGCTTCTTCCCATCCGGAATCGGTGACGCAGGGAACTTCGGTGGGGTGTTACCCTGCAGCAACATCTCATTAATGTACTGTGTAGCAGTGCTACCATACAGTCTGCTAAGATTATTCCCCTGAGAAGGCCCCGGCATGTCGAACATAGGAGAAACGGGTTGGCTACCAGTTCCTTCTTGCTTGAATTTCTGCTGCAAGAAGTAGATGTGCTCTCGGTATTTGTAGACCTAGGCAAAAGCAAGAATACCGAAACTGTCAGTTACAAACGGTAAAATAGCTGGGGGAGGGGGGGCTTTGGGCTCGAAGTAATTTCTCCTACCCCCTTCCACTTCATTACCCCCCCCCCCCCAACACCCTTTCTAAACATGCCGCAGGCAGGCTACCAAGGAAACAAGCAACGTTACATTGCTTGAAATTGGTTCGAAATGTAGCAGAAAAATGAATTTAGTTAAGTTTGGGAATGAATGACCATTTAAAATTTCAAACCACCCCCCTTCTTTTGTTTGTTTGTTTTTTCGGCCAGGAGGTGGCTATATGGTGCATACCGAATATCGGACATATTCTTCAATTGTATTCTAATTATAAAAAAGGACAATTCAAAGACCAAATCACCACTGGTCGCACAAATGTTGATATCATAAAGTGCTCCCACCACAAGTGCTGGAAATGCACTAGATGAGTACTGGAGAAGCTCGCTGGCCGCTAAAAAAGTTTTCGGAGAACACACTGTACATGGCACACTTCTTACCTGCTCCTGAAGGGAAGAGATACGAGATTGATAGTTTTCCAGGTCTCTCTTCAATTTGTCTTTTAGAGACAAGGCACGCTCTTTCTCTTTCCTTTCGTTCAAAAATTCTTCACGGTATGTTTCGTTCTGTGAATGAAGAAAAAAGAGGATGACGAGAAACTGAAAATAAGTTCAAGTAGGTAACGTAGTTGGCATGTAGTCATTTAATTTCTTTTATGCAGAAAGAAGTATTTAAATGGTTGAAGAGAGAAACCGCTTTTGGGGAGCTGGGCAAAGGAACTTAAGGGTCAGACGAAAACAGGGCTGGGTTTAACTCTTACTAATCAGAGCTGCAAGCTTCAGACAGAACAGAAGAATACTCGTAGTCTTACCTGTCTCTGAAGAGCAATTAACTGTTCGATGCTAGGCAAACCGTTGTCATGAATATGTTTCTTCAGTCTCTTGAAGTCGTCAATCTGATCCTCCTGATCGCAGTGAAATCGGACAAATTCTTCGCTTTTAACCTGTTGGCAAAAGCAAGATCCATGAATCATTAGGACTTTCACAAGTCTTGCTGTTTAAGGCTTCTGCGGAAATACTGAATGGCGCGCCAGTTGCTTCAGACCATGAAGTGGCAAGCCCGTCAAACAAATGAATTAAACGTGGAGCTCTATATGAGCCGCGGAGCTTTATATGAGCCGAACCAAATCAGCGTCTGAAACGGCTCAGTTGTTTCTCCCCGCTTGGCTTGATGTCACTGTTGAAGGTATTCAGGTTACAGATTTTATGTCTTGTTGAACTGTAAGTTCAAGGGGATTTTTAAGAAGTTCTGTCATAATGCTGGCATATGCTCGATGCTCTGACTATAGCATTATGCCTTAAATTATGCCGGCATAATTTATCTGACCCTCTTTCTCTGCAAAAGCTTTGAGGAGGCTTTGATTCAGATAAAGTAAGTTGGTATTATCAACTGAGTTGATAACGTAAATTGGCCACCGTTAAGAGTTTCAAATCTGACTTTTCGAACGTTAGCCCTTCGTCGTTCGTTATCACGAAAGGCTTAAGCTCGAAACGTCAGCTTTGAACTCTTTACGGTGACCAATTTAAGTTATCAACTCAGCTAATAATACTAAATTACCTTGTTTTACTCTTCCGTCGACGCAGCACCACAGTTTCTTTAAAACTTACCTTTTTTATTCATTAGATTCAGACAAACGGACAAAGAAATACAAAAAGCTTACTTGCAATGATTTCATGTTTTTAGACAGATTCTCGACCTGCTGCCTCAAAGATTTCTGTTCAGCAATAGAAGCGAACTTTTCTTGTGTTTCTCTCTCAAGGATTTCCTGCATTTCCTGAGCTCGGTACAGTAATTGGTCATATTCGTGTTTCTGCTTCTGTTCATTTGCCTGATATTGTACAACTGTTTCCTGTAGCTGCCTTTTCTCTTGTTGCAGTTGGTTTATTTCACCACGCAAATCGTTTTCATCTTTCTCGCGACTTTCTTGCAATTCCTTCAAGCGTTTTTCCAGCTGGAAAGAAAAGTAATAGTATAAAAACTGACTTAAAAATTGTTTCTGAGATGTTTACCGACCAAACTGGCAAAAATAAAGCCATAAAAAAATCTTGACTAAAAAGTCATCCCCGCGTTTCCCGCGCTTTGTTTTGATTGGTCACCCTGTCAAAATGCCCGGATGTGCAAGCGTATTGGAAGGCGGGAAAATTTGGCGCACTCTAATGTGGCGCTCAAGGGGAATTGTGGACTTTCATTATTTTCTGAAATCTTTACATTAACTGAAATGATAGCAAACATTTTGCGTACTTCGTTTAGAGAGCTTCCAATCCAGCGTCAAAGTAAGTGAATCCATCACCTCGTTACATGTGGTTTCATTTCTATTTTCCCCTTAAATTTCCTTTTCCATTCTTATTGGGTTTGCTCATGAATAATTGAGCCGCGAGTAGATACAACTGAAATGATCCCGATTATAAAAGTTTCATTTTCGAGCGCTGGTTGTTTCTTCAACTGTTTCCCTCAATCGTGAGAGACATTATGGACTCAAAACAAAACTACAACATAAAAATTTTAACGAATCAGTGATGCTCTTTGCGAAAAACAAATCTAAACAACATACAAGATCATTCTTTAAAAAAAAAACATGGACATGACGTTATCGACATTGCTGATCCTAGCAGCATAGAGGACACTTGTTATATATGAACTTCGTAATGGGCCTTGCTCACCACAGCCGGCGTCTCTGTGGCTCAGTGGAAGAGCATCGGAGCGCGGAATTCTAAGGTCTAAGGGTCGATTCCTCATGAGGACTCTGAATTTTTTCTTTGTTCCACTATGGTGACGAGACGAAAAAACAGCTATCTCTGAGATATTAAGATATGGAGGAAGATGTTTTTTCGTCTTGTCACGAGCGAGGGACAAAGAAATAATTCTGAGTCCCCATGTTAAGATATGTATGATATTCACTAGCCGGAAGGTCCGTATTAGGAAAAACTGTGCCCGGGGTCTTGGATACCGCCCGAGGCCGTAGGCCGAGTGCAGTACTCAAGACAGATGTACACTTTTGAACAGCAGAAAAAACCCGGGTTAGAGGACTATCACAACGATTTTGTCTTCAAAAACAGTCAATGATCTAACTTTTATTACACATTTTCAATAATGATGACTTATCCTTAAAGGTTTACCTCTGTTCAGTTAAAAATGGCATGGAAAGTTTATGAGTTATTATACGTAAATTCAGATGTATGTTTTAAAGTTTTGAATGTCTGTTTGTTTGTTAGCTGCACGGGTGAATGGCGTGTGTAAATATTGACTTTTCTTCCACGAAAATTTGCATCTTAAAGTCTCTCTCATGAACCGATTGAAAAGAGCACATTGCAAAACTAAGAGCGGTGTGGACTGCTGGAATGCGCGAAATTAGCCAATCAGACTGGGGGAATTTATATTCTAGACTGCTGAGATGCTTGGGAGAAAAGAAGTTCTTAACTTCAATTAACTTACTTGTAGTTTCTCAGAGTAAACTTGATTCATTTTCTCTGTAACTTGACTCATTTCTTTTTCCATGTTCTCAAACTTGGTCTTCAAAACCACTTGCCCATCACTTGAACAAACAACACAACCATTTGCCACAGACTGATCTGATTTATCCTTGGTTCCTTCATTTTGAAAATTCCTTGTTTGATTTCGAGAGGGTTCTGCAGTTTGGTCATGAGAGCAGCTGCAACCATTGCATTCGTCCTTTAGCTGAGAGCAATCTCCCCCATTTGTCTTGCTGTTGTTCATGTTTGTTCTCCCAATTGACCTTGAGGTTTTTTCGTCCTTCATAACATCTAGTTTTTCCGCTAGTGCAGAACAAAGGACATCTTTTGCTCTCAGGGCCCTCTCTAGCTTTTTTGTCTTGGATATGTACTGCACAAGCTGAGATCTGAAAAGTGTTGAGCACCCTACAGTATGGTAATAAAAAATAAATCAATCAATAGAGAACAAAGAATAAATATCACAGAGCAAGTGCACATCTATAAACATTTACAGATGTACCATTTGCATTTACCAAAATTTGCTAAATAATGTACCTAGCAGACCAAAAAAATGGCTCATAATTTTGTTATTCACTTAAAATCTTCTCTAGCTGAGCATGAACCCAATGTTTCTTAATTCTCTGTGATTGCATTTTCTCAATTTGCAGTTTTGATGCCCCATATATTTTAAAAGGGGGTAAGTTTCTAAAGAAAGTGTGGTACTTTGTAAGTGGGAGAGTGTATCAGGAAGCTCTGACCAAAGGCTAACACTCAATACATCAACTTTTAAACTCTTTACAGTGGCCAATTTATGTTATTTTAACTCAGTTGATAATACCAAATTACCCATATATCTTTATACTCCCAATAGAATTTTGGACTTTGTCCCAAGGACACAAAACAGGTTCATAGCCAGGGCAGGGCTCAAACATAGAAATCTCTACCCACAAGCTAATGCACCAAACAATAAGCCACTGCATGGGTCTTCCATAACTTATTCTTATATCAACACTCACTTTCACAACAGTTTCCTTTTGGTTCTTGATCACGAGTTACTTCTTCCAATAACCCGACTTGCTTTTGAAGTTCTTTATTAGCTTGTAGTAGGTTTGTGATCAAATCTGTATTCTTGAACAAAACAACAGAAAAAAGTTAAAACAAAGAACAAACAAATTGCAGCAATGCTATAGAACTAGATAATTTGATTTATCAGCAAAGAGCATCACCAGTGTATACATTTTGAACAATCTTAACAAGGTTGATTATTTTAAACATGATCATTTCTTTTCAACCCTTTAACTCCCAGATCAAATTTGCGATTCTCCTTACTGTCAACCATAACAAGTCTTATAATATTAGTTCAGAGAATTTAGTATTAGATCAACTAATTATCCCCAAATTGATATTTTTCTTTATTCTCAACACTTATCTGGTTGAAATTTTATTAAAATTGTAAGGAGAAACTCTGTCTTGGTCACTAATGGGAGTTAAAGTGTTGGCACTGGCCATAATCACCATACCCTAACAAATCTCCTTTATAAACATCCATATGAAACCCATTCTTTAAAAGATTGCTACAATTATCTTTTCATCCTTTGATCCCAAAGAGTGACCAGCATCTAGGTAAATTCTCCTAATAGTATTATCAATGAATTACACTTTGAGGTTATAAGAGTAAAGGAAATGATTATCAATTATAGATGGCCTTGATTTTTAAACAAATTTTGTTCATCATCACCTTAGGATGTGTGTGAAAAACAGCATGGAGAGCAATGGTAATCACTAAACTAAATAGAATGAACTGGCAAGGTTGACCTTAACCAAGAAATCATGTACTTCAGTCTTTTCTAAATCAAAGTTTAAGAGGGTGCATGAAGAAATAATCCATGCAGTTTTGTCTTGTTTATACACTTTACTTTTTTCTTTTATTATTCCTTCAGCCCCCTAAGGTGACTTCACTCTAAATTATCCATAAAATATCACCTCTGAATCAAACATTCAAGTCATGAGAATAACTAAAATGATTCCTAACCAAGGAAGCTCTTGATTGTTTTACCACAAACACAGGAAATATCAACAGAAAAGAATGGAGAATATACATACTGATGTTTAAATGTAAAGAGTTTGGGAGCTAGGAGAACATGATATTTGTCTAACCAAATATCTCAATAGTGTTCTTCCCTGTAGCTCATGTACATTTCTCTGTAAATGAATTAAGAAAGTTTTAATTTTGGTGTTACATGAAAAAAGGAAACACTGCTATGCTTCCAAATTTGTTTGTACATAAGCACCTACATCTACTTCAGATCTTCATCTGCATTAATCTGATCAGATGGCAGCACTTAAGCATCAAGTCAAAAACATCTGATAATATATATATATATATATATATATATATGTGTGTGTGTGTGTGTGTGTATTGATAAACAAATAGAAAATTAGTTCAGCAAGGAATAGAAAATATAGTCTGTACAAGTAACACAGTGATCTTGAAATAATGAGTGCATTACATTAGTTTAAATGATACATGGAAAAGAATTTCAATCTTTCATAGCTCCTCGACATTACAAAGATATGAAACTTTATAACATCTTGATTGCAATCTGCTTGAAAAACATGATTAATAGACCTCAAATTTAAAACTATGCTTAAATTTTGATATTTAAAATTCAGGTGTAAGTGTATCTATGGGAAAGTATATTGAAACTCCAAGGATAAGTCACAGGTTAAATGTTAAATCTTCTGGGGGTGAATTGGTTCATTAACCCTTTACATTTTAACATTAGCATGCAAGTTCCCCACACTGTTCTCTATACATCTCCTATGATGCTGAAAAGGAGAATTTGATTTATAATCAGGGGCAACTTTAGTTGGTTATTTATTTCCCTTATGCTTTGGACCTTAATGTATGATTTAGGGGTGATATTGTGAGGAAAAATTATATGTTAGTCACTCTTAGGGGTTTTAAGGTTAAAAATGCTCTATAAAACTAAGAATGACCCCATTAGTTTATGAACAATAATAATAAAAGTGTAATGTCAATAAATGTAAAAAAAATTCAATTATCAAAGATAAGTGGATAGAATTAATTATGAATTTAGCTTTTTACTGAAATTAGTAATATTCATTGATTGTTCATCAGAGTTCTAGCAAAGAATGCAATTAAGGGGAATATTTTGGTATGTTGTGGTATTTTCCATAGTAAAATATTAACTTGTTTATGCCAATATCTAACAGAGAGAGGAGTCATTGAAGCATAAAGCCATAAACTTAAAAATATTCAAATCATGATCATCTCAGAGGAGATCATTTTGAAGTGTACATCAGTTGCTGCTGTTCAGTCTCTTAGAGAAATTGTGGTTTAAATAACACCAGCAGTCACAAAATCTTCCAAGATCAAATCGCTACATTACAGTATTTCTACAAAGATGACCTTTTTAGGATAAAAAAAGGGCTTAAATTTAATATCGCCGCAGGAGCTTAGCAATTGATGTTACCATGTTGCTTATGGGACTATCTGAATTTTAAGTTTGTAATGTCTGAATACCATGGCAAAACTTAGCAATCATCAAAAGATCATATGCAGGTCAGGATTTGACAGAAACGTCTAATATAGCCGAAAAAGTTTCGCAGACAATGAAGAAAATTCCAAGACCCCTAAATGCCACTTGTATTACAACATAATATCTTTAGCAAGCAGATATCGTGTGATCTCACTTCTCTTGCAACGAGTCCGCTACACACTTTACAAAACTTCCGCGAACGTGTATTCACTCCAACTCATTGAAAACTTTTAAAAATAGAATCCAGCAAATTGAATTTAAAAACAAGTTACATCGAAAAGCAGACAAGCTGAACAGACACAGCCGTTCAAAGAAAAACCGCGAGTCTGGCATCGAATTTCACCGAAATCACGACATACAGGTTCAAACGTGAATAAAATATCAGCCAGACACGCAATAATACATGAAGCTGTAAATACGATTTGTTTCCAAAGAGTCAGAGATGAGTTAAGCTGGAAACTGCAGCCGTTGTGTACCAAATTTTACGACTGCGTGAAAACGACATCCGCTTGCACAATGCGAAGAGATGTTTGGCACGCGATCAAATGAAAACCGAAAACAATAGCTATTCGTTTAGTCAATTTGTAGGTCTTGTCGACACAATGCATTGAATGGATAGCTCCAGTTCTAAGAGAAAACCCACGAGCGAAATAGCAGAAATATGGCCTCTTAAGGGAAAGAAAACGATCAGCCTTGTTAAACGATTAATAGGCGGCCTTGATCGCCGAGATGCAAACATCGCGGCGCTTTGGTGCATAGCATGAATAATAGTTTATTACGGTTAATTTACTCTGAACGCACCAACGGAATTGTAAAGACACCGTCTCTAAACTCAACCTGTAATTATGTACTAGAGTATTAGTGGTTATAAGAGGGTAAATGAATTGCGACCGCGGCAAAAATTTGTTGTAACTTAATATGGCGATTGGTTTTGCACAAAGAAGGAAATAAGGCGCTCCACCTCGAAACATGTCAAACCGATAGTCAACACGCGGAAACAAAGAAGCGCCCGACTCACCATTCACGAAAGGAGTCGTCCAGCTCAAAATTAGTGTCATGATGTCGCACTGTTCATTAATTTTTAGCTTCTGCTGTCGATACGAGGGTGATTTTTGCAAAAGAATGGCGTAGACGTCGATCGAAATGAGCTGTCTGCACTGCACGGAGCGCAGCGTTTGGAGTCAGAAATGTAGGCGTGGGGAAATCGCTGAAATCAGCCAAGCAGCCAGTGAATGTACAATTTGCAAAACAAAAGTAAACTTACAAGATTTGTGACCAAGCAATGGTAAACACCACGTGGCAAATCGATTCCGTGAGTTGGAGATATCGCAGCGAGCATTCACACGACGAGTCAAACAACGTCAACAAAAGGCCACTTCAGTTCGTGAGTCGCTAACACAGGGTATCAAATATAACCAACCGAGGCCTTGCAAATCACAATAACATTACAAGCATGCTCGCTAGTGAGGGATAGGGTTACACTTGTCAATGAGAACAAAACAACTCACCGTCGAACTGTCTGTATTTCCATAAACATAATTCGTGTTGTCGTGCTTGAAAGTCACCGATTTCTCGTCGCAGTGCAATTTTTCACTTCTGTGAGCTTTCCGAGTCGGAAGCTGAAGGCCGGCGTCCGCGTTCAAAACAAGAGAATCCTCAGCACATATTTCACCAGCGCCTTCAAAGAAGATTGCGTGTTCGCGGTTAGGCTCTGTGCAAAGGCTTTGCAAAATACCTCGCAAGGCACATAGTCCACGGAGTTTCACCAGCATAGAATTTTTTTCGCGCACTAAATATAGAATTACTCGTCTTAGCTCTTCGTTGTGGTCGCTATATCCCCATTCGTCACCTCCTCCTGGTTCAAGCTCAAAGTCGAAAAGTTCTGCGCCCTCTTCGGGCGGAAACCACATTCTCCACCGCTAACGACCAGACGGGCTTCAAACGACGAGAGCCAAGTTACAAAAAGAATCCTTGGTTTAAAAATACAATGGAGAAAAAATTATCACCACATAGCGTTTTTTGATAGCAGCAAATCACATGCCACCACTCCTCATGATAAATTCGTCACGGTGCGAAATAAAACCGGAAACAAATGGTTCACACAGGGCAATGTTTACCGGATATTTAATAGATCTTTGTCATCGGTATTATTCCTTACCTTGGTATCATTACCTAATTGACCCAAAAAAAAAACTGGAAGTGGTAGAGAATGATCAAACTCCGCATATCAAACGTGAAAACACGGCTACAAAAATAAAAACAAATAACTCATCAATATCTTTCCAAGAATTGGATATTATCATTTATTTCTGTTTCTCTCGCCAGGACATGAACGGGGCACGAATGCACGTTGGTACGTGTCTGATTGAAGAACTACGCACAATTTGGAAATTTAGTTGTTTCATTTTTATTTTCCCTTTTTATGAATTTTAATTTTAGTAAACAAAGTGCTATTTTGCAAACGACCGTGACAGTTTACGTTTCACTTTTTGTTCACATGACAGTCATAAGCAAAACCTGTCGCGGTTCTTGCGTGACTGTCATGAACTGCTCAACAATTACGTAACGTAATATTATTAATCACAGGAAAGATTGTGACGGCATAGAAAAAATAGATGAGATGATGAGGATTGAGCCTGTGGGTCGTAGCTGCGCGAAGAGAAAGCGGACGCACAATACCGTATGGCGTGACATAGCTAACGATGCTCCTGAGACACACCCTGTTTTATCCGTGAGTCTCGTCCCAATCTCTTCTCGCTCGAAGCTGGCACAACAGCTCAACCCGTATATAGACACAGTTAACGATGATACTTATGTCAAAAAGGCTTTTAAGCTCGCCTTTTTGTCTTTTTTTTATTCTGATTTTTATCTTCAATTTTAATTTTCCTGCTTTTTTTGTCTCGTTATCTGTTTTGTCAGGAGTCCATTACTGAGCTCCTGGTTTTGTTTTTTTTTTTTCCCTTTATGTGAAGGTAGATTATCAGACAGGCAATACATGCAGCCTATTCAATGGTCAAAATATAACTTGATACGCACGGTTATTTTGCGAGTTGCGTGGTATTTTCCGAACCTTGTAGGAAACGTTCCGCCTCAGCCTAACTTTGGCTATTGTATTACGTTCGTTGAATACAATTTATTTTTTAATCTAAAATAAATGAATAAATAAATTGGGTTGACTCGCTCAAGCCGGGATGTCAGGAGAAGGTGTCTAGATCACTTGAGACCATTTTAGCAAACGCCATGAGTTACTTAATACGAGCCACGCCACCTTCGATACCCGTAGGTTTAATTTGATTTCGAAACGTCGAATCAAAAATATCCTCTCCTAACCTAGATCGAAAGTGCTTTCATAAAAACCTCAAAGTGGCAACGAGACGCCATTAAAACAAAGCAGGCCATATGTTTCAGTGGGGGTGAGGGCATTTAATTGTTTTGCAACCTTTGTAAGCCTAATTTCGGTGAGCGAGGGTTTTCTCGGTATTTTCTTCGTAAAAATGATAGCTGATATCTTTGATTTACACAGAAGAGATGGGTTGAGAGCGAAACAAATGCTTACCAAAGGGGTGAGCGACAGTCAAAAGGAAGAAGTGGGGAGGGGGTGGGGCAATAGTCTTCTTGCTTTTCCCCACTCCCTGCCCCTACTATCCACTCTAACTCTAATTCAAACATGGCTGCGCACGCTTTCAAGTTACACCTTTTGTGAGAAGTAAAGCACAGCCGGTATGTGCAAGGCACGCGTTGAAACTCATGATCAACGGTTGTATTTGTGCAACTGCTTTTATTATCGCTCGTTGAAACATTCAATAAGTAGGTGTAAAATCTTAAGTCTTGAAGCGATATCTACTAGACGCACAATTACTTAAAAATTTTATCACGTATCATCACTTATTACTCTCAGTGATCTGCACAAAAAGGGCCTTGCGGCTATAATTCCAATAGTCTGACCTTAGGGCTGATGAAGTGTCAAATCCAAAACCATCGAATAATTGACTTTCCATCACAGAAGCATGATAGGAACAATTAACTTTTATATCCATATTTATCATACTTATATCAGGCTATCAGTTGAAATTCAAAATTCATCCACACCAATTGGTGTCGTCTTCGTTTTTGTAGTTCATAGCGCCAGTTTGATCCGTAAGAAAATGGACACTGCATTTTTTTGCTACTCAGCAACAACCATAGTGACAATCAGCTGATAACGCCCTTAGTATCAAATACAGAACGTGAGCGTGGTTCTTTCCTGAGAGTGCTTTTTTCTCGCTTTATTTCATTTAGACATCAAGTCGTATGGTTTTTTATTTCTTTCTCCACGGAATATATTTGTAGGTCAATATTAAATAGGGTAGCCTTCATTCTAATCTTTTCTCATTTGAGATGTGAGATATGTATCACGCGTAAATATAAGCTTTTTAGTATTTTACTACAGCCTGAAAAATCCTCATCTTACCAAGCGCACGAACAGTTTAAGAAGAGGGAAAAAAAAACCCTGACAGAACCGAACACTAATGGAAAGACGTTAGCAATTAGCGACGCTATGGTTAACCATTTCTAAAGCCTTACAAGAGTATTTCAAATTAGCCAATAAGCTGTTTCTTTTTCCCTATTTTGTTTTGTTTTTTCTGTTGTCAATACGGGATTTATCACCGATGAAGATACCTTTCCCGGAAGAAAAAGATCGGCAGTCTGATACAAGCATAAAAGCAGCTAACATCCTTTGTAAATCACTCACTCGTCCAGTCAAAACTCTGGAAGTCCCTGGGTTTCAGGAAAGTATACGGAGTTGCACCTGTCATGAATTTTGAAGGACGCTGCATCGTTTGAGAGAAAAACGGTTATTATGACTTCATTTAAATAGATCTGCATATTTAGAATAGACGCAGAAATAAATTGTGTGGTTCTCTCTAATAAGTCATTTCTCTCTTTCAGATGTTGACAGCTTTGCTGCCGAGATAATTACCAAAAATATAATTTATACCAGCGGAGGATTCAAACTTATTGCTGTGACCTTGCATAGTAGAAATTTGTTTTTTAGTTATTCATCTGCATCCGTTCGCGAAAGCTGAGATAAATTGTGTTTACATCCTCGACCTGTGTAACAAAAGAACTTAAAACATTGAAGTGAGGTAGATTGGTGTAGATTGAATTGATAAACAAACGTCTCACGATTTTAGAAAAACTCACGAACACCTGCCGGCTTCTAAAATAAACATTTGATCGCTTCTTGCACGAATTTACTCTGATTATGTTTGCTGATACATGTTTTTCCCAGCAACGTGCCGTGCTTTCACAGTTGGCGATCTTATCATGATTCAGTGTTTTTCACATAACCAATAACACCCTAAGATGTGTTATCATCATTAACGAACTGCAAGCATCTTCTGCTCGGGGATAATACTTGAAGCAGCATGTGTTAAAAAAAGCCGCATTTAATCGCTCTCTTGTGAAATTATCGTGATATTGGCGAGTTTGGAAATTATTTGACGATGAGTGCAATAAGCCTTAGTTCACCAGAGCACGTACCTGACGGTTGCAAGAAGTTTCATCAAACACCGCCATTTGATAATTTTGAGCGATCCAATGCAACCGGTCTGATCCGCAAAAGGCGTATTCGTATTAACGTGAGAGGATTTCAATTTGAAACCTTCCAAACAACGCTGGAGCAATATCCAGAGACAATGCTTGGATGTCCAACAAGACGGGTCGAGTTCTACGATCCCGTCAGGGACCAATACTTCTTAGATCGTGACCCGGAAATATTCCACTTTATATTGTTTTTCTATCAATCGAATGGAATCCTTTCACGACCTGAAACTATATCAAAAGATAACTTTGACGAAGAGCTCAAATTCTATGGAATTACAACAGATCAAGAGGAAGCGGACAAAAGAAGCTCTGGGGCTGTCAATGAGGCAGTGGCAGCACCCGAAGAACATCAACGTTTGAAAATGCAAATCCAACGCGATCAAAACTTAAATTGTAGTCAGCGTGAGAAAAATATGCGAACAAGATGTTGGTTGATGTTGGAGTATCCTCGGGTCAGCCTAGCAGGTATGATATGGGGTAGAATCTCAATTAGTATCATCCTACTGTCAGTTTTTGCCTTTTGTCTGGAGACAGTGCCAGAGCTCAATTGCCCTGAAGACAAAATAAGAAACACCCACCGCGAATGGAATCAATCCGCAGGAAATAAAACACAAACAACAATTAATAACGCAAGTCATCAATTGCAAATGACTGCCATAAATGAAACGTCCATGATTTATTTACAAGACTGCTCCGCTGCGCGCATATGGTTTGTTGTAGAAACTTCTATTGTTTTATTTTTTATGGCGGAATACACAATACGAATCTATACTGCACCGAGAAGATGTAATTTTGTTACTTCGTTGTTCGGGATTGTGGATGTGGTGGCGATCGTTCCGTATTTCATTACGTTAGCTGTCTACGGCTGGCGAACGGAGATGAATTTGCAAGTCACCTCTTTCAGTGTGCTCCGAATCATTCGCCTGTGTCGCGTGCTTCGTGTCTTCAAACTCAGTCGCTATAGCAACGGCTTACAACTTGTTGGAAAAACGTTCACGGAGACGTGGAGGACGCTATCGTCTTTAATGATGTGCGTGCTGATGGGCGTGATTCTATCCTCAAGCTTTCTATTTTACTTCGAGGAACAGGATGCAGTCAGCAGCATCGTGAAAAATTTTTATTGGGCAATCATCACCATGACAACGGTAGGATACGGCGATGAAGTCCCCAGGACCCTGCTCGGCAAACTTACTGCGAGTTGTTGTATGGTTTTTGGGATTGTCTTGCTGTTGATTTTACCGTTGCCCGTGTTTGTAACACATTTCAGCAGTCTCTATCAAAAAGAGGCGGAGAAGAAGAGACAGAATAAAAGCAAAGGAGCTTATGCAACTCCCACATTGATTGAAAAGCTAAGGACAAAACAAGTCTAACTATAATGAAAAAAACCCCAGTCACGTCAGAATAAATATGTTAGATAATTAGAACAGATGTTTCGAGTAAGAGTCGCAAAACTAACTATTGGGCACTCAACACTTTAACCCTTGAGAGGGACTAGTATCGAATTTCTCTAAACATTATAATCCCTGCATCGCCTCAGACATAGCAGAGTCAACTAAGTCCCAGATGACTTTCAATATCCATTTTACATATGTTCATTTGCTTTCTTAGAAAAATCGAAAAGGTACAAAGAGGAATCATTCTCGATTGGTTTCCCTGCATTCTGTGCTTTTTTTATGAATTTTCTTCATTTTCCATAGTCGGGTCGTTTTAACAATATTGTATACCATTATGCATTATTACCCAGTACTAGTCGAGGTAGTTTTAATATGGCTGTCGATGAGAAAGGTGTGGTAAGGAGGTTTGAGCAGCCTGAAAACGAAAGCATAGCAAAATGTGCTGTTTTAGAGTGAATAAACGGCTTTTTTAAAAAATCTTTTTTTAAATCGAAAGTCGAAATCTTTCCCTCCTTTAATACTTTTTTTTTTTTCGCGTTCATACTTTTATGAAAGATCTCTCTAAAATATGGCAATTGCAAAGCAAAGAAAACTGAACTAAGTTGATTCTCTTGAGATCAGCCCACTGTTGCTGGACACGAAATTCAGAGAAATAAGATCAATATCAGTATCTGGGCAACTGCCCACCTACCCCTCCCCTAACCCAACAACAGTCGATTGATGACAAGTTGGGGTTAACGTTGGGTTAGGGGAGGGGTAGGTGGGCAGTTGCTTAGATACTGATATTGATCCGAGAAATACATTTAAAACAGCCCGGTAAAATTTACCTTCCGTTTACAAACTAAAGCATTAAGAAAACTGCCAATGGATCCTATGTCATAATTTAATTCACAGAGCTTAAAATTTTCCGTCGACTGTAACTGCATCGTTGAATGAGTAAAAATCCATCTTTAACTAAATCATAATAAAACAAACAAAGTGGTATTTTGTAGGCGTCCCTTCAACGGAGACAGAAGACATCAAGCGATACGTTTTAACAGCATTAGGTTAAATGATATAGTATTAACTACCTATGGCTAAGATAATCGATACAGTCACGGATAACTGTTCACAATGTAGTGCCTCAAGCGCGAGAAATACATTTCAGCGTTTCAGTCTTGCATTTGATTAGTTGAGAAAGTGGCCTGAGTTTTCTCGACCAACCATGGTAAGAAGTAAAGCAAAATTATCGCAATCTCAGATTACTTTTGCCACCCAACTGAAAGCTGCTCTAGTCGCAACACTTTCAGCATACATAACAAAACAGCTCTTATAAGAGAAATTTTGCCACATGTACTTTGCCTTTCAGTTGTTATATCAATTAGTGAATACCTAAATCTAACTGCATGCAATATTCACATACAGACACTTTACGAACCCTCCTTGGTAGTCCATTTTCTGTAGTCACCCCTTGCCCCGTTTATAATCCTTTAACAACGACTGATCCCCCCTCCCTCCCCCACTAAAAAAACCTCGGCACCCTTCCCCCCCGACAGACAAGAAATAATGGCGGGTCTTTTATAAAAATTAACGCTTGTCTATCATGTCTGTGCGTGTTACGTGTTATCATCCTTCCCGTTGATTAAATTTTTAATCAGGAATACATTTGAAGGATCTAACGTAGTTTCCAAATGTCTTTTCACCCCATTTGAAGACTTTCGCTGGTTTTTCTTCATCTCTCCGACGTGCTGCATGTAGATCTCGTTGAAACTCGAAATGAAGACAGGGCTTGGAAGACATACCATGACAACAACCCCAAAAATTGCACACAATGCGCCCACCATTTTGCCTATAGGAGTTATAGGTGTCATGTCTCCATATCCAACTGTCGTCATGGTGATGATAGTCCACCAAAATGAGGCAGGAATACTGCAGAAGTCTTCGCGATTTTCCTTATTCTCCACGTAGAAAATGGTACTTGAGAACAATACTACTGAAATAGATATGAGGAAAAATAACGCGATTAGCTGTTCTTTGCAAGAACGGACAGTATACCCCAGAATTCTCAGAGCGGCCACATAACGTGTGAGTTTAAGCAGACGCACCACTCGTAAAAGACGAAAAATTCGCATAACCGTGAACGAAAATGCGGGCGCATATGTGTTACCAAACAAAAGTGTTAGAAAATACGGAATTATTGCAGCCAGATCAATTAACGCCAGCGCGGACAGAAGAAATTTGATTTTCTCTGGAGATGAAACCAGACGGGCGGCGTACTCGGAACTGAACCAAACTATGATACAAGTGTCAATCACAAACCAAACTCGTGGTCTTCTCGGGTTTCTGCCCTCCTCTTGGCTGACGCTACTCGCATTTTTGGTGTTATTGTGAACGGACAAAGATTTCACCGCCCGCGTTGCTGCATTGTTACTATACATGGTCTCCGCACAGAACACCACAACAGAGAGAATAATAACAGCCATTGATAATTTGGAGAAGAGCGCAGCCTGCTTTGATGATTCAGGATATTCTAGCAATTCCCACAGTTTTCCCTGCCAATCTCGCTCAGGCATATAAATCATTTTTTCTTTTTGCTCAGCAGGCTTCACTGTTTTGATCTCGTAGAATCTCAGTTCCTCGTCGAACGCATTTGCTGGGATTGTTGAAGGTCGCGAAAGGATTCCTCTGGATTGGTAATAGAATAAAATTGCGTCGAAGGCGCCTTTGTCTCTTTCGAAATAGTATTCATCGCGAAGAGGGTCATAAAACCTCTTTCGTTTCTCTGCCGAACCGAGAAGAGTCTCAGGAAATTCTTCCAGAGTTTCCTGGAACGTCTCGTAACGGCATCCTTGCACGTTTAGAATAATTCGTCGACCGCTCTCCGTCATTGCAATCATGTCTTCTTCTTTTCGTACAATTAAACCCTTCCAATATTGTTCCTGTTGCATCCAGTATGAATGAAACTGCAGCTCCTAATATCCCGGACTACCATTGTATGGATTCGACATGTATTATCGAAAGCTGAAGGTTTTGCCATGTTTTTACAATCGACAGTAAAAATATTTTTTTCCACTACAGCAGCTTGACCTTATATTGTCTGTATTAACGAGCTAATGATGAAAAATGTTTCATGTAAACAAATCTTCAAATTCCGTAACAGATGCGCTTTGCCGATTAATTTTTAAAAGTGTCCTTTTGTTGCTGGTAGAATTGAAAGCACTGCAGGATTCGTTCTGCCCCTAAGAACAAATCTATTTTAAATTAATGCAGTAGTGATATCACCCGTCTGATTTTCATAAACAATAGGCGAAGGGTTAATCAATGCTTTTGACTAACACAAAACTAAAACCGGTATGATTTCAAAACAAGACAGAAAAACCTTCATCAATAATTCAGTGTCGCGCGATTCCATGGTGTTCCTCTTAACATGAGCTGGTCGATATTTCAAGGTGTTCAAGTTTACCATTTATAGAAACATTTTCCTCAGCTTATTTTTTTTTATCGTCCACACAAACCTCAAAACAGAGGTGAAACCGTAAGAAGGAAGTGCGGCAGATGACGCCATGATCCAAAAACACGCCAATTAAAACAATGCGTATTTATGTTTTCAGTTCATCTTTATCCTTTGTAATCCGCTTTGTTATCAAGACTAGAATCTATCGGCACTTTCGCTATTATCTTAATTGTCTTATTAATAAGGGAATCATCTTCAGTTAATTTCATTCCCTCTTTGCTAATAAAAACGCAGGCTAGAACTAGGAGAACATGACCAGGATGGCAAATAATCCAGCATCGTATTCGCGCCAGGAAAATTAATCATAATTAAATAAAAATAATAGCGTGGAAAGATACTCCTCCCCCGGAAACCGCTGAGACAATCCGCTAACAAGTTAACTTTAGGAAAATATGGTGTTGGTGCAGCTCCACTATCTTCTCCAAGCGCTGATTGGTCAGGGAAAAGATCTCCAACGGCGTCTCGTAAACCGCATAATGAAACTCGTAAAAATTAAAATCTAAGCGAAGAGAAGAAGTTTTCCATCTGATCTACTTAGAAGTAAAAAAAAACCAAAAGAAAAAAATGATTAAGAAATCCTGAATTAGAACTGAAGGATTGAAGAAAAACATCGAACTATTATGACAATTACAAAAGTCAGAAATCATCGTTGGCTTGAATCTGATTATCAAAAAATATTCATGATTTTTAATTTTTCCATCAAATTTCTTTTTCTTTTTCCTTCGTTTTTTTAAGCTGTATACAGCTAATTCTTATCTTTGGTAATCAGGAGAAAAGTCGAATCGGGAAGCTTACGTGTCATCGACAGTTAGTTTCGTGTTATATTTCGTTCGTGACATTCGGCAATAAAAACAAAATTTAGACTAATAAAATAATTTGAAACAATGGCATAATTTTGACACATTAAAATTCCTTGATTCGTGCAACTGTTGAAAGCCACCTTCTTGTTATAATTTGTTCGCACGCGTCGCATGTGGTGAACGAATATATTGCTGAATTTTATTTTAAACTAGAACAATCGCTTACTTCATTGAAGAATGATTAGGTTTCTTGACGTTAAGTAAATATTGATTATTAAATATTGAGGGCGAGCTTTAAAACCAAGAGATCGACCAAATATTAGCGCAAATACTAGCACGATATGAGGAAAATTAGACCGCACACTCCTTAATAACCTATTAGCATAACCATAGTAACTGTTAAAAATAACTGTATAATACGACTTGTGTTGAAAACATTGCACTCTAGATATCAACCAGGAAATCTAAATGGAATATACTACACAAACTGAAGGGAAAACGATGATAATGGATGCAAAAATGTGTCGGCGTGATAAATAAAAAATTAACAACCTGATGATTTTCATTTCTGTCTTGTCTTGAAGGCACGTTTTCTTTTGATTTTCTTTTTGAAGAAGAAATTGTGAAGATTTGGCTCCTTACAAGAATTATTTTATGTTCGATTTTTCTGTTGAGGTGGGATTGGAATTTATAATGAACTAAACACATGAAATATGATGCAAGATCGTACGCATATAGATAAAGCTTTTCATTCTAAAAACAGATTCATTATGAATAACTTCCGCTATCATATCGATTACACTGTCAAGCAAACAAAGGACTTTAATGGAAAAATTTATAAGCTTTCGATGTCACTGTCAGGCAGACAGAAGTACGACTGAGAAGTTTATCAACTCAACAATAACATACAAGAAAGCATATGGAACTCATTAAAGCTTAAGCATAACTCGCATATGATAAAAAAAAATTTTTTTCAAACGTTTTTCTTTCTTTCCGCGACAAACAAGCTCACATAAATATTTGAAGGAGTTTTCGTGTTTTAATGTGGGGACCTTCTGCTGTGGGAGAACGGGTAGAAGTTAAAATGAGGAATTCCGCCTTTTTCCGACACGCTTTGTCTTGATGAAGAGGAGCGGCTGTTATTGACTCTGAGCACTCTCGGAAAGCCTAAGAAGTCCGATAAGGTAAAAAAAAAAAAAAGTGTCGTGCAAAAAATCAATCTATCAGGCCTTAAGGTAGAGATTGCTAAAATATTGAAAAGATCTTCAAGGAAAAATCGTTCGCCGAAGAAGAAAATTACATGAAAGACAAGTTTCTTCCAGCAGAGAGGAAACGTAAATGTAACATGTAGGTTCAACATAAAACCTTCCTTCGTAAATCCTGCCATGACGTGTTCGCATGTTTCCATCTCCTGTAAACGGTTAGTATCCGATTAAAGTAATAATAATGATAATAATTAGAATAATAATAACAATGATATAGAAACTATAATTATAACAATTATAAACGACAGTAATTAAGCAATAAACGCCACTTTCTATCAGTTTACTTGCTACTGAACCCTTTCGTTTATTGAGAAGTTGGGAGAACACTCGGAAAGTCTGTAAGCCACGAGGCGCAAACTTTTTACCGATCGAAAGTGTGGTTTATTGCTTTTACGACATAAATATGTATGAATTTTGTCAGAAAGAACGATAAATTTAAGTTTATTCTCTGATCAAGTCGCTGATTCTCATGAAAACCGTCAAAAAGTGGGAGAAACCAATCAAAGTGCAGGAAACTGAATTAACTGTCAGCTAGAAGAGCGAAGACTGTAATAAATTTATTGCTGGCACGGAGAAACTGAGCAGAAATTGTAAAGAAAACAAACGAGAAATTTGATGGGTGATATACTAGATAAAGGCGCGCAAAAACTATAAAGTGCTACTGAAGAATACTTCAATTTGGACGCAGAAACGCGATTTTTGTGGCCAGAATTGGCTTACCATTGCGATTACAATCTGATAATCAGTATTGAAAGTTTTTAAAGTTTGCAAGCCTAGGAAGCAGTTTTAACATTTTCCGGAGGTTTTTCAGAGAAGTGAAGGTCAGTTATAGAATTTTAGCTAATAAAATTTATTTCGATCATGAGAACTTAAGTTTAAATTCTTTCATAACATTATTGGAAGGCGCCACGACGGAAACGTCAAAATCGAAAGACAACAACATCGAGCGGTGTGCATTGATACAAACACCGTCCAGCTATCTCGTTTACATGCGGTACCGACCATTTTCCTTCAACCAAATTCGTCTCTATTGCCTCTGCTTGAATTAAAGCTTTCATGAAGTCCTCGTTAAAATTTACAGAAAGGGCTTAAAGCGTTTAAACTTGGCAAATCCTTTTAAATGTAAGCTGAAATCGTGGACAGCAAACGGGACTGCCATAAATCTTAGTGCACATTCACTTTGCAAGTGGTCTTTGTTCTCATCAGTAAATAAGATTTTCAGCGTTTAAAGTGTCTTCTTCGTTTCCTCAAAACCAAAGACCACTAAAAAATTTAAATTCTGGGAATTCGCCTTGTGTGGCGCCATTCCACAGGACGGGAAAATGTTTCAATTTTTATGGGTATGCAGGCAAATACGCAATAGATTTCTGACCAATCAAAAAGTACATTGAGTCTAAGTTACGTCACAATAAAAATTATGATGATGATAATAAGAAGTACAATAACAACGATAAAATAATTAAATTATCACAATGGTACAAACAATAATAATATTAATAAGGATTATATACGCAGGAATATTAACAATGGTAAGACTCACAATTTTACTGATGATAATTCTAAGAGTAATAACAGAAATAAAAATGATGATTATAATAACAATATTAATGGTATTGATATCAGTAATATCATCAATGATTATGATGTTAATAATGATGATAATAATAATAATTACTTTGAAACTAATGATAATAATTTAAACTAATTCATTTAGGATTGCTCAGATTTAAGAGAAAAGTGTTGTCCATGGAATTCTCTTTAATAAAGACAAAAAGGAAAACGAAACTTCTAAAAACTGTATGATTAAAAATGCAAAACAAAAAAAAAGTATATTTGAAAAAACACCTTTGTCCCACTCCAAATTTACCTTTTCTGGCATTTAACAACGAATATCTTGTTTTCTCGCTTTAAAACAATACCATGATATCTGAGAATTCTATTTACCTCACTCTCATTAACAGATGTTAAAACGACGCCAAATTAATATTCCTTTCGCATCCTCTATTTACACTGTTTGTGTATCTATTCAAAATGAGTGACAATTGAATACTTATTTTATTCTTTTCTTTATTCGTGGAGTTAAAAATCCCATTACTTCGAAGAAGACTTTTTGTGATTTAATTCTTGTAACAGAACGAGACAGAAACAACACCTTAAGGAATCTATCGTAGCCCCTTTCATTTTGTTGGATTCGTTTAAGTGATTTTAATAGAAAAGCACTCACATAATTGTTTTTTCTTTTAAGTGTTTGGTTGTTAATTGTCCATATTTGCATTTAGTTTTTAGTTACAAAGACAACGATAACGGAACATTCAATTTGACATCTCAACAATAAACTGTCATGGTTCAGAGATAGCGTGAAGGACGGTTGGGCAATTTGTGCAGAGAATCCTTTGGATCCATAGTTTCGATAATCGATATAACTGCTTTGGGGCAATTTTCCCATATAGTAATAGCCTATAAGAAGAAAACAAATATTTTTATTTTGGTACGATAGCATTGAAACT